TAAGTTCATGAAAATAATGTGACCAGAGGTTCACAGGAACCTAATCCTATCTCTCCCCCAGATGCTATGATACAGTATTTGCTAATTCAGTGCGACTTTATAGGAGTAACTGCTGGAAACAAAAATCGACTATGTTGCAGTGAACTACGTATTAGAATATTTAGAATAATGGGTGTGCCATTGTATTTTTAAAAGTTTGAAAATTACAAATTAAAAACATTTTGGTACAAAGACAAAAGTCCCATACTCCTTATTACCCATCACTAAGTATAGGGCTGACTACAGTGTGTGTTGTTTTTTATGTTAAATTCAACTGGAACTATAAATCTCAATCTTCTATTTCACTGTAATACCTACCCATCAAATACAGGTATCCCTTAAGCTTTAATCTCCTTTCCTTTCTCCTATCCTCCTTTCCAGGGTGCTTCCTCATGGCCTCAAATACTGTCTTCAAATCAGAAAACTCAAACCTGAATTTCCAATCTTGATATCTCTTCTGGCTCTAGACCTGAATTTCCAAATACCTGACTTATCCACAAATTCCCGTCACAAATCATTATCAGTATGTTACAAACAAAACTCATTTTTCCCTCCATAAGCCATTGTTTTCTGGGTATGTACCTTAACTGAAGTAATAAGCATTCTTCCTCATCATATAAACTGTGTTTATCTTCACAACAATCTTCTAAGTAGGTGCTGTAGTGTAGACGAGGTAGGATTACATAGATGACAAAATTATAGTCTTGAAATCAGATTTGGCTAATACTTACTATGCAGCCTTAAGCCAATTACTTTTTGAGCCTCACTTTCATGGTTAGTAGACAACAGTGAAGGTCTTATTTTTCTACCTGAAAGTGTGTCCAGACTGACAGGATTAATACATGGGAGCTTTTAAAAAATACAATCTCGGGTGCCTCAGTGGCTCAGTGGTTTAAGCCTCTGCCTTTGGCTCAGGTCATGATCTCAGGGTCCTGGGATCGAGGCCCACATCGGGCTCTCTGCTCAGCAGGGAGCCTGCTTCTCCTCTCGGTCTCTGTCTCCCTACTTGTGACCTCTCTCTCTGTCAAATAAATAAATAAAATCTAAAAAAAAAAAAAAAATACAATCTCAGGGGTGCCTGGGTGGCTCAGTGGGTTAAAGCCTCTGCCTTCAGCTCAGGTCATGATCTCAGGGTCCTGGGATGGGGTTGCATTAAGCTCTCTGCTCAGCTTCCCTGCTTCCCCCCTCCCTCTCTGCCTACTTGTGACCTCTGTCGAATAGTAAAATCTTAAAAAAAAAAAAAAAATACAATCTCAGCTTTATCCCAAATATGTTGTTGTATTATCTGCATCTTAATACATCTTCAGGCAACTGGTTAGCATTTTCTATCCCACACTTACTAATACAAGAATGTTATCATCTTCAGGGGAGTTCAACATTAGAGAATCCAAAAAAAGTCCTGTCTGTAATTTACTAGAGCTGCTGTTTCAATTGCTGTAATACTTCTATTTATCACTTGTCACCAATTCTATAGTTAAATAAAGGCCTTTTACAGCTTTTATAAATCTTTGATTTCTTCCAGAAATCTTGAACTATCTGCACAACTTGAATTTAAATCCACCCCAAGGTTATTTTATTCACTAGAGAGACCTATTACTATTATTAGAGAGGCTCATTCTTTTACCATTTGCCATGCTATACTTCAACATTTCTAAATTTGGATTGTTCAACTTGAAATTTCCATGTCCCAACTTTATAAATTTTCAAGACAAGGAGGAAAACAGAAGTATCTGTCTTACCCTGAAATATTTGGGGAAAAAAAAAAATACTTGTAATTCAAATGCAAGAACTTTTATATAGTAACACTGTTTCAGCAAAACTATTTCTAGATTCTAATGCTATTTAACATTTATTAAGCATTCATAATGTACAATGCATTATGTTCAGTGAGAAAGTTTATAGATGTTTAATGTATTTTATAATCTAGCCCATGCTGCTATTAACCTGAGATAATTTCTAATAAGCTCCTAGGTAATGCTGATATTGCTTTTCTGAGGAGCATAATTTCCGTATAAATACCACACTGCAAGAAATATTACATGCAGGTCTAAGAAAGAGACAACAAAACGTGTGTGTGTGTGTATGGGGGTTGTAGTGGTGAGAAAAGACTTTGGCTTCTCCCTCTTCGAAAATGAGCTGTTTAGAACTTAGGTTAAAACTCAGTTGGGAGAAATCTGTCACCAAGATGTTAATTGTGGCACTTGAAATAGTGCCTTATTTGGCACTATTAGTAGAGTGCCACTTATATTGGAGAAAACCCACTACTTAGAAGGTAACAAAATTAACAAATTCCAATTAGTAAGTCTATCTTAGGGGCATATGCCATTAGTCACTTAAATGTTTTCTCTCCATTTCTTGCCTTTTGTACATTCATTCCATAACATATAATGTATAATATCCTTATTGTACCATTTCCTAAATTATAAGTCTTTGTTAAAATTTTCTTTAACCCAAGGTATTTAAGAACATTCCAAAATTCCAAGAATGACTTTTCAGCTTTTAAACTTAAGTTTCTAAGCTTTCTTGCAATGTAGTCATTTGTGCAATGTGCTCTTGGATTGAAGTTTTCTCTGTATTCTAGTACAAGATCATTTAGAAATGTTTCAGGATAATCTGAAAAGAATAAAAAAAGGAGCAAAGTAATACATATTATACACACACACTCCTAATTAGTGTATTCCTTTTCATTTACTTTACTAAAGACTGGAAGTGTCGAAGTCAGTGTCCAATATATGTACTGCCATATGTAAATGAATTAAGAATTACTTTATTAAGTACTTGAAATACACTTATTTTAAAAACTATGTATACATCAGTAAAACTACCACTCGCATCAAGACAGTGAACATTTTACAGATAAATGCCGTATTATTTACCACATAAAGCTTCTTAAATGTTACATCCCACACTGTTTATTTTGTTACAGCTTAAATTCTGATAAAAATGTTGTTCCCTAGTTCAATTTCTATGACTTAACAGTTTTCATTATCTTTAAACTCCTTTATCCTTTGTTTTATCCAAATGTGAAGATCCAGGTTCAGAGACTGATTTTTGACCCAATTTGAATCTTTTTAACAGGGGTACTTAGTCCGTTTATGAATGTGATAATTCACCTGTATCTCTGTTAATCTATTTTACGCTAATTTTAATGTTTCCTTGCTTTGTTTTTTCACCACTTCTTTTCCAATTCATAAAATTGGTATATTCTAATTTTATCTTTAACACTTATCTCGTTGTCAAATTTACTTAGAATGAACTACTACATGAAGCGGTTACTACTGGTTTTCCCAAGGCAAGATGTACATAAAACAATGCTTTCATCTACCACCTCCCCAGTCAGGGATTTAGAAATTTTCTCTTTACACTGTCAATATTAACATTATAAACAAACTTTCCCCACTCTATAATTAGAAATAAAGGACACAAAACTGTACCAACTTCCCATTTTATCAGATTAACACTTGGAATGCCTTTACTCTAGGTGTCCTTTCCACTACAGTGACAAAGCCCTTTGATTTTGTAGCTGTAGAGCGTGCATACTTTTATCCACATTACATACTAAAAACAGTAGTCTCTAAAGTGAACATTTCGCACATCTTTTCAGTCTAAAACAAGACAAACTGAAATTAGAGACCGAACTTAAGAATTTATCTTTTCATTCAGTTTCATAACCCTACACATAACAATTTAATCTTAATGTTATTTAACTAGCTTTAATGTTTACCCGACATTTTTTTTCTTACAACTGCCTCACTACTTGTTTTTGCGGGCTGTAGTAACAGCATTTAACAAATAAAGAAAAAATACTCTTAACTCCTGCATATCTGGGAACGTCCTCCAGTTACCTTCATATATAAACCGTAACTTGGCAGGATATAGAATTCTTGGCTCAAAATCATTTTCCCTTAAAACTAGAGATATTGCTCCCTTGCCTTTCGGCATTTAGAGCTGAAAGAGAAAAATCGGGTCAGTCTGACTTTTATCCCTTATAGTTAACCTGCTTTCTCTGAATACTCGTAGAATTTTTCTTCTTTATCCTTCCAATTTAAAAACGTCAATAGGATATGTGTAGGTGTTGCTTTCTTTTCGTTGTTTTACTGGTACTCTATTAACCTTTTCTATTTGCAGATTTAGCTTGTTCTTCGAATTTGGAAAATTTTCTTCAATTAGTCCCTTATTGTTTCAGCTTCATTTGCTTTGTCTTCTGTTTCAGGTATTCCTATTATGTGTATCTGCTGAACCGATGCTGTAGATTTCGCTTCTAATCTCTTTTACTTTTCCTCTTTTCCTGCCTGCGGCTTCTCTTGTTTTGCATTTACTTCGGTAATTCGATTTTGTGACTGATCAGGCTTGCACATTTCCGTTATCTCTTTCAACTCCCTGATACTTCTAAGGCGCTCTGACATTAGCTGCTTTATTACTGAACACAGATCTTTAAGCTCCTGTGTTATACGATAGTCAAATCTTACTCTCTCTCCGGCTTCCACTGCTATATCCGTTTCAAGAGGCGGCATTTTCTCGATTATAAAAGGTTTCTCCCGAACTCTGTTATTTCGACCTTTAAAACAATAAACAAAACTTAATTTCCTACTGTTTGAGTCAGACCCAAAATTCCCATTGGTAATTATCAACAGTTCTATTCAAATGTTTTCTTCCTCTCGCTTACCTTTCGAACAACTCTCCTTCGCAACGGGACCAAAAGTAAAGATTAAAAGAAGCGTGCCGAAGCACCTCACAAAATAAAACGAATGTCCAAAATGGCTTCCGTCACGTCATCACCGCGCGCCTCACGTCAGAGCCAATAGCCAGATGCTTAGCTTTATTGAGGGGTGGGCTATAGGGCGCTAGCCAATCGCGAGGCAGCAAACTCCATTGGACCAGGCCATACCCCCACGCGCCGTCGCTCTTCTCCCGCCTCATCCGAGCTGGGGGGAGGGGTCATTGAGAGTGCGCATGCGTTCATCCCATCTCCTTTCCCTTCGGTCCAATGACTCGGCTTAGATCCGGTACCGCCTCGAAGGCGGGCCTGGGTTCCAGGCACGGCCAATGGCACCCCAGGTGAAGGTTGAGGGGTGGAAAGTGCCGGGTAACCGGTGGTGCAGGTTTTTACCAGCGCATGTGCAAGGCTACCTGGTCGTCATGGAGGCAGTCTTAGTGGAGGAGCTTGATGAGGAGGAGCTGCTAGTGAGAAGGCATCGCAAAGAGAAGAAGGAGTTGCAAGGTGACGAGGGAATGGGAACCTAGAAGTCTCTCGGACCCAGGAAAGGGCGCGTGGCGGGTCGGTTCTGCGGAATCTCGAGAAGCTTCTGATCTGGATCTTCTTAGACTTTCCCAAAGTAGCCAGTGGCCTCACCCCTTCTAAATCCCCTGGCCCGATGGTCCCTTAATCCGCCGAATCTTCAGAAGCTTTCTTTTCTCAGGTCCACCGCGTCCCCGCTACTCCACGCCACCGCCGGATGCTGGAGTCTGAGAATTTCGTGTTGGGCCCAGATTGTTCACCCCCTCCCCTGTCTCCCTTTCCTATTCCTAAGCAGTTACTGATACTGGGCGCTAATGGACGCGTTTTGAAATACCTCACCTCGATTTTGAGGACTCAAAAGGGATGCTTGAGAGATTTAAAACTAGAGTCTTTTTTTTCCCCCCACTTCTATCACACTAAACGTATGTTTTGTTAATGAGGATTTATTTATTTATTTATTTTTTGGGGAGGTGTTCTCTCCCTCATCTGGCCTCTTCTCTGTAAATGTCTGATTGTTATGTAATTACTATACTTGGCTTACAGTATTTGTGTACACCCTTCTCCCCTTACCATCCTCTTATTGTCCCTATTTCTCATTTCCTCTCAATCTCTGGGTTGTTGACTTAATGATTTTTGGTGGATTTTCAGCCAAAATTCAGGGTATGAAAAATGCTGTTCCCAAGAATGACAAAAGGAGGAGGAAGCAACTCACTGAAGATGTTGCTAAGTTGGAAGCAGAAATGGAACAGAAACATAAGGAGGAATTGGAGCAACTGAAGCTGAATTCTAAGGAAAGTAAAGTATGTAAAGTGATGTTTCTCTTTGCCTACAGCATCTGAAAGCTACTGTCCACCTCTAAGAAACTGTTCACTATGTGAAATCATAAAATTAGAGGGAAAGGAAGTTACAAGATCATGCTCATGCGTTACCTTTCATTAATATTTCTGTGACAAGGTTTACTTGGTAATGTGTTTTTGTAAGGGAGCAAAAAACGTACACTTCAACTATGTACTTGCCCCCAAAATTAACTGATTGAAAAGTGGACCAGAGGAATCTTCACCAAGTGAAAGTTGGAAGATCAGACTTCTAGCCCCAGAATTGCCATTTAATAGTATGGCTAACTTGGTTAAGTTACTTCCTAAGCATAAAATTCTCTGGGTGGCTCAGTGGGTTGATCCTCTGCCTTTGGCTCGGGTCATGATCTCAGGGTCCTGGGATCGAGTCCCACATTGGGCTCTCTGCTCAGCGGGGAGTCTGCTTCCCTCTCTCTCTCTGCCTGCATCTCTGCCTACTTGTGATCTCTGTCAAATAAATAAATAAAATCTTAAAAAAAAAATTCTCCACTTATGATACAAATACTTTAGCTGTTTAGCACAAGATTCTATAAGAATCAAGTGGGACAGCAAATATGAAATCATGTTCAGGTTATATGAAAATTTACTTTGTTTCTTGGGTAAAGTAGAGCATACTGTCTTTTTTTTAACAAATAGTTATTTTATCATTGTAGCTAATAGTGTGCCAAATGCTTTAAGATAGCATGTGCATTATTCTCATGTGATTTTTCTTAGTAACACACTATGAGGTATTACCCATTAAATAAATGTAGATAATCTCATTTTTCAAGAGAGAAATAGACTCAGGGATTAAGAATTTCCTTCTGAATTCATAACAGCTATTAAATGCCAAAGCCAGAATTCAGAATCAGGGCTGTCTTACTCCAGGATGTGAATCTGAATTCTGTTAAAACTTTGTGTGGTATGGTGGTTTATCACATGGGTTTGGATATCCGGGATCACAGAGTCCATAATCTTACTCTATTTTTGATAGAAGGTTCTTATGGCTGGATAAAATTTTATCTACCATAAATTAATTTTACTTGTTTTTGGTCTGCTGTTGATAGTGAAAACAACTTGTCTGTACTGATTTACAGTGGTCAGTGTATTAAACATGGTCTCATTTTCTTTAGCCTTATTAGCTAGTCATTAAGATCCCGACCTGTGCCTTAACATATTTTATTTCCAAGTAGCAAGGCATGATTCTCCAGATATTTAATTGTGTTGTTACAATCATGGTATTCCTAACTATCTCCCCATCTTTTCTATTAGTGATACAGTTTTATTTGCTTTCCAACTTTCAGTTTTGAGATTTCTTTCTCATTGAATTCTTCTCAAAGATTTCTTTGAACATATTCTTCAACTGTTAAAATACAAACTCCCATTTTACTTTGGGCTATTATCTTTTTCATTAACTTAAGCTTGTTTTCTTCCTGAATACTATCTGAATTCTCATGTCATTGCTTTCCAGATGCTTCTCTGTATCTTGCCTATTGTCAGTATGGCAGTTTGTAGATTTTAGCAGATTCCTGTGAAAAATACAAGAATGCTAATTTTATTAAAGTTGATGTAACCACTCTTTGAAGTCTTAATCTGGTTTTCATATTTTGATAATTTGGGTATAGCCTTGCAGACTGCTATCTCTTTTGTTATTAGAGTCCTCTGTATGTTTTATGCATTTGTTATACCAAAAACTTAATTTAAATTACATTTGCAGTAATAAAATACTAGTACTAACACTGATCATTAGTGTAGCATCTTTCTTCTTACTTCAGCAAACACATGATAGCCATTTGGTGATTAAGATTGGTTATGGTATCTGAACAATACATTAACTTTTCTACCTGTAGTTATCAGTTTGTAGATGGAAGAGGATAGAGAAAGCTCAACAGTGTTCATTAGGTTCTGGCTAATTGAGATGGAGAAAGGGCTTTCCTGCCACATTTGAGGTTATGAAGGCGGTAATGAACTGATCTGGCACAGGACCTTATTTTGTTTTTGGTTTTTTTTTAAGATTTTATTTATTTATTTAAGAAAGAGAGAGAATACGAGCTGGACATCATGCACACAGAGAGAGGGACAAGCTGACTCCCCACTGAGTGTGGAGCTGGACATTATGACCTGAGCCGAGATCAAGAGGCTGACACTTAACCAAAGTAGCCACTCAGGCACCTTAGCACAGGACCTTACATATCCTATAAGTACTGTCAGCCTTTAGAGAAGGAAAAGGTGAACTGCTCAATGACTGAGTGTAAGTTGGCACTTACAGGAAGTATTTAGATTAATGAAATAGGAATTTCAAGAAGGAAGGAAAGCCTGCAGGGATGAGCATTTGGAGAGCTTTAAGGAAACTTTGTGGGACTCTGACAAATTCTCCCTTAAAAATAAAAAAAGAAAAACCATGTCATGTAATATTGTACCTAGTACTGTTACTCAAATTTGAATTGTTGTATTATACATATTGGTGATTTTCTTTCTTTGTAATTTTCAATTTAATAATCTAGTACTTGAAGAATAACTTTAAAGTATTTTCCATTAACTTGGTAATGCTTTTGTTTCCTTCAGATAGATTCTGTTGCTGTTAACATTTCAAACTTGGTTCTTGAGAATCAGCCACCTCGGATATCAAAAGCACAAAAGAGACGGGTATGAATGTCATGTCACCAAGTAATTAAGTTAGTGCTATATGCTTATTAGTATCTTAGGTATTGTATACAAAAGGAATAGAAAAAAAAAGATGGAGTTTCTTGCCAAATACCTGAACTAACATTTATTAAGCCCTTGGTATGTGCCAGATACAATGCTAGGCTTATAGATTATATGAAACCTCATTTAGTCCTAGATATAATCCGGTAGAGTCTTATCCTTATTTTGAAGAGAAGAAAATAGGTCTAAACAGTATAAAATAACATGTTCAGGTCTCAGAGAGTAGGGATAGGAAGGGAGTGTGCAAAAGATATTTTTACAAATACATTACCCCAGACTTAATAATTCAGAATCTTCCCATTGTGGGCTCAGGTGATTCTGTTCTGGTTAAAAACTATGGTGTTAAGTGGTGAAACAAGGATTTGAATCTAGAAATTAAGCAAGATAAACAGGTGTACAGAATTCTCAGAATTATGCAGGTATCTATGTAATGTTTAGTTGCAGTGAAAAGTCAGAGAAGGGAAAGTTCATTTGTGCCAATTACTAAATAATGAGTTGGAATTTTAAGAAAGTACAGTTAATTAATAGGATATATGAGTAGGAGAAACAGCATGCATAAAAATAAATGTGGGCATGAAATTTTACATCATCAGAGAGCTATGAGAAAACTGATTTGTTGAAAGTAGTGAGTTCATGAAATCAAAATTATGGGAATGAAATTAGATAGGTTACAGCTCTTCACTTGGAAAAAGAAAAAAGGATTTAAATCTAGTATGTTTAATCAAATATTGTTTCACGAACATTTGATGTTTTGTAGGATTTAAATGTTTATTTTTAGCTAATTCAGCATTTTTATAATTTAGTAGTACATAATTTTAATAGGGCATGGTATTTGGTGTCAGACATATGAAGGTTTTAATCCCATTTACTATTGTGGCTTTGGGTAAGATTCTTAACTTTTCTAAACCTCAGTTTCATATGTACAAAATGGGGTAAATAATATTTACAGAGTTACTGTAAATATTAAATAATATACCATTTCCAAAGCCCAAACACAAGGCCTGGAGAACTAATGGGTCAGCAAATGATAGTATTGTTTAGTATGTTCAGTACTGCATAGTGTGCCTCTTAGAAATTCAACCCAAGACTGTATCTTTTTTTTGTTGTTTGAAAGTTGATTAAGTTGCATTGTCAAACATTTCTCATTCTTCTGTAAGATTTTATTTTCTTGAGTCATGAAATTTAGATTTTATGGTATCTTGGAGGTTGTCTATTTTAACTCCCTCCTTATAATGTGTATTCTTTTTGTAAGAGCCTTAATTATCATGTAGCTTCTATAGATCAAAAACAAAGGTCAGAATTTTTGCTTGGCAGGGGCATAACAAAATACTTGTTGGTACTGCCTCTACTTAGTAATTGATAATCTTAGAGTAGCCTGTTTCATTCTGGAAAACCTAGGTCCCAACTGATTCCTGTCTTTATCAAATCTTACTCATCCCCATCTGGACCCTTAGGCAACAAAACAAATAAAAAATTAAACTCCCTTACTTTTCTCAAACATTTGTTACCTTTCTCCTAAAATTCTATGTAGCTGAAATGCATACCTTTTCAACTATACTCTCAAAAAATTTAGTATCTTTTATGGTCAGCTGCTTAAACACTTGGCAAGAAAACACCCTTGAAGTAATGCCTGAACTTTTTTATTGCTTTATTATATTAATAGTATTAATAGGATTCTGGAACTGAAAACACTTAAAAGTTTATAGTATATAAGAAAATGAAACCTGAACTTTTTTTTTTTTTTTTGCCAGAAACACCAAGGTATGAAAAGCCAATAAATTAATTGTGTTTGTCTTTGGGAGAGATATAGTTCTGTCTTAGAAAAACTTGATAAAACTTTATGAAGATTTATTATTGGAATATTGTAGAGCAAATCTCTTACTTTGAATCTAGAAAAACACAGGGAGTATTTTATTTAATTCATCAGGCTTCAATGGAAGAAGCTCTTTGGTATGCTGGAAAGAGCCCAGAGTAGAACTTAGAAGAATTGGGTTTCAGAAACAGGAAATTTGGGAGCTGGAATGAAATCTAGTTTAATTTCTTTATTTCACAAATGAGAAAGCTGAGGCCTAGTTGTCTTAGTGCAAACTGAAAGTTTGATACAAACCCAGGACTAGTACCCAGCTCTTAACGATTTCTCTTCAGAGATGATTTTGCTACATTACTATATTGACATGACTCTAGTTTTACTGACAATATATTTATGAGTTAATTGCTGTTTTCATTTCAAATATATGTTTTCATTAGACTTAATTTTTGCCATTCTGTCTCCAGCACTAAGGCTGTAGAAACTGCAGTGCTTAGTGCCATTGGGAAGCTATCCATGGCTGGGAACAGAAGCCAATGTATTTCCCCCCATGTGCCTGGAAAGAAAACACAATTGCTATGTAACATTGAAGCAGAGCTTGAGGGCAAAAATGAAATGCTTGGATTAGTATTTTAAAGGATTAAAAGTTTTTTGCAGAAGTATAAAATTCCACTCTTCTAGTAACTAGTATATAACATCATTAACTCCAGCTCCCATCTGCTCCAACTTTTATTCTGATTTAGGTGCCTGGATAGAAGGAGTGCTCTGTGTTGTCCTTGGTCCCACTCTGCTTCTAAACCAGCTGTATGGCCTTTGGAATTCTTTCTGCGTGCTGTTTCCTCAGAGGAAAATGAGGGGTTTTGGATTAGATGATATCCAAGGTGCTTATCCTCCCTCTCCCCTCTGAAAATGTTCTTTAGACTTTCATAAAGTAACAGTGCCATCTTGTGTTTTAAGATTTTTATGCTGCTGTGATGCACAGTTGTAGGTATGCAGTGAAATAAATTTGTTCGTGTTACTTCTGGCATAGTTGGATTTGGGTGGAACAAACTTAAATAGGTGTATGTTTTATTAGGGAGGTAATAATGTTTTGATTCAGGTAATTTACAAATCATTTAAGGTTCCAGCATGGCACATAACAGGCAAGTAGTTCAAGTGAGTGACAATAAGTTTGAAATTTGCCTTTCCATTAATTTCTTCTGCCCCAAAGAGGAATGAGAGCTAGGGACATGAAAATCTTTACTTTTTCCTTCTTTTTCTTGGTTTACCAAATCCTTCACTGTAATTTGCTACCAATATCAAGATTTGTGGAATTTTACTTAGCTATTTTTATTCTCTTAAATTGAAAAGCATTCATGACCTGTATATAAGTAAAACATATTCATGATCGAGAATTAGAAAGATGCAGAAAAGTGCACGTGTGCACATGCACAAAACAAAACTTACTTTGTAAACAAAGACCAGACCCTTAAATACAGAAAACAAACTGGTGGTAGATAGAGGGGTGGTGGATGGGGGGGATAGGTGAAGTGGGGAAACAACTTACTTTGTAATCCTATGGTCCAGAGAAAAGCAGTCTATTTTGTGTATATCTCTGTAATTTTTAAACTATGTATGTACAGATTTAACATATATTAACTATATACATAACTTTTTTGCCCTCAACCTCATTTTTTGACATGTTTCTATGGTACTCTAGCTGTATGAACTGTGTTCAGCTATGAAACATGTAGTACTTTCTGGATTTGTTCCTTGCTGGTATAACTGTCAGGATTTTTTTTCTCTTTTCCCCTAGCCTTCTCATTCTACTTCCTAACCAGCCTTCATGTCACAGATCTCATTGCCCTACCCCTACACCATCCTTGCATAGGTTGCCATGGGAAGAGCTCTTCTGACATTTGAATAAGGAAAGCATGTTGCAGAATGTAATATGATACCATTTTTTGTCAAATTTTTTTCCTATATTTTTTTTATGAGTACATCTATATTTGTTAAAATGCTTAGGAAAAAAATTGACAAAGATACTCACCAGACCTCTAGAGCAAGCATTGAAATTGGCAGTGGTCCTTAGGGGAACTTCAGTCTATCTGTAGCATTTAATTTTGCGTAAGAAGAATTTTTTTTATCTGTTGCTTTAATTAAATGTGTGTGTGTGTGTGTGTGTGTGTGTGTGTATATACATGTACACACACAGTTTTTTTCTTTAGGCTAGATAAATAGAATTCCTATACTCTTCTAAAGGCTTTGGCAATTGATGCGATTTAGCATATTAATGCTCCAGTAGTTGAGTGATAAGTTGAAAAGCTTGGATTAGCTTGGCATAAATATGATAATGATGTTGCTTTAAGGGCTAGGATAACTCAGTCTTATGGCAGTACTTTGAAATCAGTAGAGATTTTAGGAACTTGTCTTGTAGTTTTTAAATAGACTTCAAAGAAAAATTTGAAGGCTTTTTTTGTTCTAGTACAGAGCTTGGTGTTGGGTACATGCAGATGAGAAGTTGCCCTTAAAGGAGGTCATAGTATAAAAAATTCCTTAAGTGATGAGATCGTCAGTATGATAATGCTTGTGGGAGAAGGGAGGAAAATGGCAGAAAATTTTGAGAGTCTTATATTTCTACCCCCTTAATAAATGTGAAACAGTCCTAATTATTGTAAATTAACTTTGCTGTATTCTCCTCCTCCCAGGACAAAAAAGCTGCGTTGGAAAAGGAACGGGAAGAAAGGATAGCTGAAGCTGAAATTGAGAACTTATCTGGAGCTAGACACATAGAAAGTGAAAAACTTGCTCAAATATTGGCAGCTAGGCAGTTGGAAATCAAACAGATTCCATCTGATGGCCACTGTATGTATAGAGCCATTGAAGATCAGCTGAAAGAACAGAAATGCCCCTTGACTGTGGCTGCCTTGAGAAGTCAAACTGCTGAATATATGCAAGGCCACGTGGAAGACTTTCTGCCATTTTTAACAAATCCTAATACAGGAGATATGTATACTCCAGGTAATTTATTTTTCTTCACTGTTCTCCCTCCCTCCCCCACCACTATGTTTTCTTGCTGCTGGTAAATAAAATGATTCCTGGGATTGAGAATAAGAAAAACCCGTGATAGTCCTTACCGAGGGAAAAAAACATCTTAAAATTTAGGCTGAATTATTTTTTATAATTTTAATATATACTAGTACATTTTGCTTTATTAAGATCTTTTAAGTACTTAACTATTTTGGGGTTTAATATATTGTTTCATTTAAGATAGAAATGGGAATAGGATTCATTATTATTATCGAAAAAATTGTTTATGAGTTCACATGTCACAGATTTGGGCATAGAGGTAAGCTTTGACTAGTCTGTGGAAGTATTGGGCCCAAAGACCATAAGCACAAAGATGGGGAAAACTAAATCCTACTTTTATCCTGTACTTTGGGAGATTTAATTTTCTCAGTAAGCTGTAATATTTAGGCAAAATTTGACTTTGCCAAACCAAAAACAAATGAGTTGATAACCTGCCTTATTATTCTTTATAATACCTTTGATAATTAAGATAAAGTATTTATGGAGAGGTGTAAAAAAAAAAAAAGCACAACTGGCAAAGGAGAGAGCAGGTGAAAATCTCAGAGTGTGGGGGGGACACAGAGATAGAACAGAGGGAAGTTAGTCCTTAAGAGAAGCTTACAGGTGTGGTAGTATCCTCTGGGAGCAAGTCATATGGCCAGAATGAGTTGGAGAAGAGAAGGTTAAGGTTGGCTTTAATGGAGTCCCCAACTCTGCGAGTTGCAGGGCAGTGGAAAAGAGGTGGCGACTCAGACTGCTGAATTTAAAAAAAGATAAAAGACTTAATTTCTTATTCATTCAACCAAATATTTATTGAGGGCCACTATGTGCCAGGAACTATTCTAGGTACTGTTCTGAGCATTGGAGATACAGCAGTGAATGAGGCAAACCCACAGACCGTCTTTTCTATAGATGCCCTTAATTCTTTTCCCTTCCTCTAAGCAGGGAGGATATTTCTTTCCCATTTTATCTTTCTGTATAAAAGTTTGTACGCTTAAGATGTACCATTAAACTCTGAGTTTGCCAACTCTTATGACTGATCCAGGAAGCCCTTTCTTTGGCTAGAACTGATACTGAAGCAAATAAAGTAAATGCCTTCAAAATAAACAGTGAAGGCACTCTGGTGCAGTGCTATTGCTGGGAAAGGAATTTCAGGTCATTTCTACGTTTACCCTAATTCTCTCCTCATGTTTCTTTTGGGGTCTTAGAGTAGACCTGATTTGATAAAGGCTGCACTGTGTTAGTTGTTCAGTGTATTTTTTCAGATGTAGATCTGGGCTTTAAAATACATGTCAAGATGGTGAATATGGTGACAGTTTTGGGGGTTGCTTGGGTAAACAGAGAATAGCCTTGCTGTGTGGTTAAGGTCCCTGGGCTTCAGTCTGAGAGAAGCAGAAATGAATAGCTTTCCTCTCAGATGGAGAGGTGGTAGAAAGTTGAAGTGAGTTAAGTTTGGATATGGGAAGTGGATTAAATTCTGGAGAGTGCAGGTAGAGGAAGGAGTAAGTTCACAACTTGAGTAATGATCAGGAATTGTGGGAGGTATAAAAGGGATCTTGTAACATGAGTTATGAAAATTAAGTGTTATCTTCCCATTTATCTCTACAGAAGAGTTTAGAAAGTACTGTGATGATATTGTCAACACAGCTGCATGGGGAGGTCAGCTTGAGGTAAGTTTGTAATTACTTATGGTATTTGTGGATTGTTAAATTTAATTTCTAAATCCCATATGTAGTATTCAGACATCTTTTTCAGATGATCCCAGTTACTGACTACCCCTTTTCTTTACGTATTTGCTATTTCTCTGCTGATGAAGTATTGAAATAGGGAGTTAACATTTTTAGACCTTTGATTTAATTATGTATCTTTGGGAAGTAAAGCACTATTTTATTTTAAATAATGTAGTGTGTAATCTGTGTGTTGGTGAGGCTAATCTTGTACCTGTTTATTTCCATTTGTGATGCTGCTCCTGGCAATTTGATTTTCTGGACTTAAGAACGTGAGGATTTTATTCAAGTACAGTAAAATTTACCCTAAGTGGCTCAGGTGATGAATCACTATTATAAAGTGACTTATCCATTACATTAGAAATAGAAAATAGTATTTTTTATGTGAAATTACAGGCCAGATCCTAACACAATACATTACAATTGGAATTCCAGTTAATTCTGACTGGTTGACTTCAAAGCTGTATCTAATATCTTAAAATTCACGTGTAGGAAAACAGTATGTTCAGTCACATGTAGGGAGTTAATTAGGATTGTCTTTAAAGCTTTAATTATTTTATTGTTAACTCCGTTTCATTAAAAAAAAGTAAACAGAACACTTATTTGGTCCAAGTGGTAATGAGGCAGTCTGGGGTATTCGAATGTCAGGGGATGAGAGAGAAAGTCCTGGGTTTGGGTCCTGGCTTTCCCTCTCCTTCTCAGTTTTGTGATCTTGGGGGGGTCAGCCAAGCCTCCTGAGCTCAAGTTTCCTAATTAAATGTGGGTAATAAAAGCCTTGTGTGTACTTGGTAGGTCATTTGTGGACCTTAAATAAGTATATGCATAGAACTTTGTAAGCTAAGGTGCCAGTTGGTTGAATCTAACAGTGTAATTAGTGTTGTGTAGTGATGATTAGTCATCTTGAATAGTTTGTGGCTCAGAGTATTTCACTTCAAGAACTTTATTTTTGGAAGAAATGGCATGAATGCTTCTTCAAAATCTTTTTCTCAGTGCTCTATTTGTACCTCTTCTGAACCACCAGAGGGAACTATGTCCATTCATTTTGTATGCCTCTCCTGGGTATCTGAAACTCAGGAAATTTTCATAGTAGCTTTGTGACTACATTAGGAGTAAAGATGCTTGCACTTTCTTTTGAGAATCACAGATTAATAGGAGAACTAGAGACCTAAGCAATTCTTTTTAAGTTGAGAACACAACTTTAGGGGCATTTAGGGGGCTCAGGTCATGATCTTAGGATCCTAGGATAGAGCCCCTTATCAGGCTCCCTGCTCAGTGGGGAGTCTGCCTGTCTTTCTGTCCGTTCACCTGCTTGTCCTCTCTCTCACTCTCTCAAATAAATAAATAAAATATTAAAAATAAATAAATTGAGGAAAAATAACCTCTAAAACATCTTTTGAAGGACATAAGTTTTTGGTTTGTGAATTCGTTTGAAATAAGATTTGCTGTTTTCATAATGGAGTAAATTTAAATTATTAAAAAGAAATTCTTTACATGATTTCAAAAGACTTAAAAGGGGTGATTTCAAAAGATTTAGAAGGGTTATTTCCAGAGCTTGTTTCACACCCTCCATTCTGGATGGCTTTTAAAAAATGTTATTTCAGGTATAAAAAAAAAAAATGTCCCAAAGGAACATTTTATGAGATAGAGCATGGGATTAAGTTTACTGTTGTGCAGCATAGAATTTTCTCCAGATCCTTGAACTAATTTTTTACTTTTGTTAAAACTTCTTTTTTTTTTTTTTAGAAGAGTTGGTTTTTTTTTTTTTTTTTTTTTTAGATTTATTTTTATTTATTTATTTATTTGACAGACAGAGATCACAAGCAGGCAGAGAGGCAGGCAGAGAGACAGGAGGAAGCAGGCTCCCCGCCGAGCAGAGAGCCCGATGCGGGACTCGATCCCAGGACTCCGAGATCATGACCTGAGCCGAAGGCAGCGGCTTAACCCACTGAACCACCCAGGTGCCCCTTGTTAAAACTTTCTAAAAGGACCATGTTCTAGACAGAATTCTTATAATTAGGTAAATATATAGATGAGGGCACTATGAGTGAGGACTATAAAGTGATTAATATATGAACTTGGGTTCTAGAGGCACACTTAATCAATTCAGTGACAGGTCATTTTATTTCCTTGTGCTGAACTACAGCAGGCATCTTAACCATTTCTGCTTCAGATTCTAGCTCTTTAAAATGTGTAACAGTAGTACCTATTCTATAGGGTTATTGTGAGGATTGAATGAATTAATATACGTAAAAGAGCTTTAGTGTCCTTGGTCAGTAAGTCTAAACAATGTTACTACCAATACTTATTATTAACTATTACTCATATGACTTTAGGCTCTAATTTTTTTTTTTTTTTTTAAGATTTCATTTATTTATTTGACAGACAGAGATCACAAGTAGGCAGAGAGGCAGGCAGAGAGAGGGGGAAGCAGGCTCCCCGCCGAGCAGAGAGCCCGATGCAGGGCTCGATCCCAGGACCCTGGGATCATGACCTGAGCTGAAGGCAGAGGCTTTAACCCACTGAGCCACCCAGTCGCCCCTAGGCTTTAATTTTATAATATATGATACGAAATTAACATTGTGAATTAATCAGATGGAAAGCCCGTGTAAGGACGGTACAGTTCATATACATAAATCAGTCTAGTCATGCTTTGAAAATTAAGAAGCAGTGGTTATTAGCACTGGTACACTGGAATCATCTGAAAAGCTTTAAAAAAAGTAGTAAACCTCCTGATTTTCCCTGTTCTTCTCTCTTTCCCTCAGCCCCTCCCAAACTGTAATTGATTTGGTCTGGTGCCTGAGCAATAGCATTTTTAAAAACTGGCAATTTTCAAACAACATTCAAAAGTAGAGAGACTAGTATAATGAATCCAATCTACCCCTGTCCTCACTTCATTAACTGTGGTACTGCTATTTCTAAAAAGCTGTCATGCAGCCAGGGCTTGAAACTTCTGCATTTGATTTAATAAATATTATATTTGTTTTTCAACAAATACGTATTAAGTGTCCACTGTGTGGCAGGCTCTTGGTGTACAGTGAGGAACAGAATAGATCCTTGTTGGATGATGGTTGCCCTATTCATGCATACTCAGTAGTTTATGATTTGAATAAGATTGACCTTTTTATTTTCCTTACTAACACATTTTCTTTCCTATAGCTAAGAGCTTTGTCTCACATTTTGCAAACACCAATAGAGATAATACAGGCAGATTCTCCTCCTATTGTAGTTGGTGAAGAATATCCAAAAAACCCATTAATACTTGTGTAAGTACCTGGAAATTTTTACTTTACATTTTTCATAGTTAAGACAAAAAGAATTATTCAAATATTTTGGTTGTGTATGTTGATTAATCAGAAAAAAGTATCTTCAGCTGCATTAATTATCTTATGTTAAAGGCAATAATAGAATTAGAAAGCATTTTCAATATGTGATTTAGATAATTGTTTAAAAAACCTCTAGTGGTTTATTGTGTATGAGTTAAGAATAAAATCATTTCTAAAGGTTACAGATTTTAGCCTTAGTTTTCATATTGTCCTAGTTTCACATGAATAATGCTAAGTTTCAGCAAGTATAAAAGCTGAAATATATTCATGTTGCCTAATTGTTTATTCTTTAGGAACTTTTTCTTTATATTGTAAAAGTATTTTACATGAATGAGAATTCTTCTCTGAAACACAGCATGGAGAGTTTGCCATTGGCTTTAGTGCTAATTAGCCAAACCTACAAAGGTAGTCACTGATGGCTTAAATTTAGGTAAAAGTTTAAGCTATTGAGCACTCCGCATTTCAGTATTTCGCTTTACCCTCCCCACCCAGTGATTGTGTATTCCCTGACTTAAACTCAGTTACAGAGTTATTGAACCAGGTTTTACTGACTGCTGATGCTTTTCAAATGGTGTTGAACTTTTAAGTAATATGTCAATGAAGTCTTTGAATGATATCCCTGTGGAGTGATTCATTCAGACTGTTTCGTTTTATATACATAATAAACATTTATATACAATGAATTACTTTCATCTAAACTACTCATTTCTCCTTTTCTCATTTCAGATATATGAGACATGCATACGGCTTAGGAGAACATTACAATTCTGTTACACAGTTGGTGAACACAGCTACTGAAAATTGCAGCTAGTTTACAAAATGTTGCACAATTATGTTTTAGTACAGTGTGCCGATCTGACTATTCTTACAAGTGCTGGATTGTTCTAACATTACTGAAAAACACAACTACCTTAAATCAGTTATGGCAAAGCTACTAAAAGATTAAAAAAAAAAAAAAGTGTCAGAAATAAACTTTAACCAGTGTTCCCTTAGTGGTATTTTAAAAACACTTGTGAGTCCAGTGTGGAGAACATTTACAGACCTGATATTTGCTGATATTTTTATTAATATTAGGTCCTGAACATTCTGTTCTGCACTGAAAATAAATTAAAAATTTTGTTCTTATTAGTAAAAGCTTTCAGTAGCCATTTTAATGTAACTTTTCTTGAAGAAATTAAATGACTTGGTCTCTTTGTCATTGGAAATATATGGTAATGGTGATAGCAAATTTAATTAGTGCTTATAAATGAATCTGATTTCAGTAACTTGGTACTGATGGGATTCATCCTATGAAACTTTTTTTATATAACTGTCAAAGTGAAGCTAAAAAGTTTGCTTTAATAACTAAAAATTTTTTTTTTTAAAGATTTTATTTATTTGACAGAGAGAGATCACAAGTAGACAGAGAGGCAGGCAGAGAGAGAGAGAGAGAGAGAGAGAGGGAAGCAGGCTCCCTGCTGAGCAGAGAGCCCGATGCGGGACTCGATCCCAGGACCCTGAGATCATGACCTGAGCCGAAGGCAGCGGCTTAACCCACTGAGCCACCCAGGCGCCCCTAATAACTAAAAATTTTAAAATATTTGTTCACATGGGAATCTGGTTTAAAAAATGAGACAGATTCAAAGGCAAATAGGTGTTCCCTACCAGATCAGACTTCTAAAGGATTACAGATTAGCCTTTTATTTGTGTGCAAATAAAGACCTATCAGATTACTGTCTCTAATTTATTTGTTACTCCTTGCTGTTTCTTAAACTTCTAATGGAATTACTACCACCATTTTTTTTTTTACAGTTTTTTTAGTGTCTGTTTTTTACATTTTATTTTTATTTTTTATTTTTGAAGTAATCTCTTTGCCCAACATGGGGCTTGAACTCATGATCCTGCGATAAAGAGTCGCATGCCCTACTGCCTGAGCCAGCCAGGAGCTCCAGTACCATCATTCGTGATTAGCTTTATAACTACAAAGTTTTATATTCTTTGTTATGTTTTCCTCATCCTCATTTAGCTGCATATGTTTTCTTTGCAGCCTTTTCCATAAGAAACAGTTTGTGGCCTCTCTTATTCTTTAGCTTGAACAAACGGCAGAAGTAGCAACGTAAAAGGGTCCAAGGCCAACCTGACTTCAAATTCTTCCTCATTTCCAGTTTGTCTTACAGAACCTTTCTTTTTGTTTCATTCTTTAGAATTAGAAGAAAGCCTTTGTTACTTGTTATTTTAGTTAGCCTTTTTAATGATATCTGTCCTTTAATTCAGATATTTGAGAATGTTTGTGTTACATGTAGGGATAAAGTTGAAAGCCACTGTTTGGGAGCTATGACTGTGTGTAGTGAAGTCAGTATACAATACTTCGTGATATGCATGACTTATCTGTATCTGATTTCAGGTTACTCTTAACACTGTTCTGCCTAAGACGACAGTATCCATGTAATAGAAACATGTCTCATTGATAATTTGTTATATAACTAAGTATTATGAAAATGGGTCCTTTTGGGTTTGATCTAGTTTTCCCAAATTAGGAATGAGTAATAAGATTTAGCATCAAGTTCATAATATTTGAATTTTTCCTCCATGAGTGCAACTAATTTTTGTAAGTAGATACTGGATTTTATATTAAAACCGGGTGTGAGCCTCACATGTCCAGCTGGTGACCGTGTGTGAAGCTGGTAGGGACTGTAGTCAGCTAGAGCAAGTAAGTACTGCTTGAAGGTATTTCATTTCAAAAGATGAAAAACCATTCTGACTGCCAAACAAAATGTATTCTGAAGGCTGACTGTTTTGGAGTCCTTGATCTGAAATTTTTGGGACCTGAAATTTTATAAAATTATTTAATTATACTAAATGGCTTGCCTTTATTATGAAGTAATCTGTTACTTTAAAATCAAAAGATAAGCATTAAGAAGTAATAAGACAAGTATCATGAAACCTAGTTATTACAAATGCCATCTATATTTAAAATATCTTATTGGTAGCTATTTTTTTCTAATAAGATGAATGGAATTTTCTTGATTATAGTTTTATTTTTATTTTTTATTTTTAAAGGCCAATATGGTTATGAGTAAGATTTGTGTGGTCAGCTTCTGTTCTTTTCTAAAACTTCAGATAAAAATCATTTTAGCTGTAACCAAAAATTGAAGTCTTTAAAAAATGGCAGATGTTAATTTAAAAACAGCATATACTAATTTAGTTTGCTGTGTGATTATGGTCTAATGGAAGTTTCATAAGCTTTCTTTTCTCCTAACTCAGAAAAGTATATGTCAGAGTTTTTGAATATGTCTTTAGCCAAGAATTTTATCCACTTAACATATGTTTACAAACTTATATAAAGCAAAAAAGAATGTATGTAACTATAGTGAGCAGTATAATTTTGCTCATATTATCTGATGTTTGCCAAAAGAAGAATAAAAGCTGTATGAATTAAATCAACATTTGTTCAATTGTTATTTTTAATTGTTCTTCTCAGATTGTTTTAGAATTTTATCCAGGCTCTATTTTGTCCTTACATATAATTGAGAATAATACAATCACAGATTCTTGCTTTAAGGGATTTCGAATAAATATATCAAGCATAGCATTATGTCTCAGACAGAATAGAGGGAGATAAAGTGATAGGCATTTAAGCCATGGCTCTTAGAAATCAGGTTGAAGCTTAAAACCTCTTAGAATAATGAAGGACAATAGAATAATTTAGGACAAATGAATTTGAAGAATATTCTAAGACTTGGGTGTTAAAGAAGGAAAACAAGCACTATGTATAAGTGAGAAGTAGTAAGGAAATTTGTGCAAATTAATGCTGGCACATCATTGTTAATATATTATCTTGGTACGGGTTCTCACGAACTAGCTGAAGGAGTGGAACACTTGTGTTTCTGAGAATTAAATTGGTAATTTCATAATGTTTTTACTTTTATTGAACAAATGAGCGTGGTTTTTCTTCCTTTCCATATTGTTTCACATTGATTTTTCTTTCCTGTCTTATATCTTGTTTAAAATCTTTTTCCATCTTGCAGAAAAATACAACTCAAGGAGTTATTTTTATTTTTTTTAAAGCAACTTGTAGGAAGTATCATTTCTTGTTCACCATTGTTCCCTCCAACTTGAAGGCCTTTGAGCTGCCATTCAGAGTTGAGCACTTCACCCACCCAGCTTTGCCTAGCTTCCTATCCTGGTCTCGCCTTAATTACCTAGCCAAACTCCCATCCAGCCTGGGCTGGGTGCCGCACTTCATACATGTTGATTTCTAGTAACTACACACTAGTAATTATTTGTATTTAGTTTATTGTTACTATTATTTTCCCTGTAAGTGCTTAGAAGCAGCTTTTTGGCTATTAATAAAATATCTAGTACATTGCCTGACCTCTGTAGTAAGTGCTTCATAAATGTTGTTGACAGTCATATATATGACTAATTGAAAGGATAGGCTGTGACTCTGAGGAGTTGTCTTTAGACTAATGGACCATCAGGAGTAGGGAGAGGTATTGACTTAGCATTGTGCTTGCTTACAAAAGGGCTGCTTTCTAAATTTACCTAACCCCTTGGATGAATTCTTCTAGTCTTTTGAGTTGATTTAAGGGAGGAACAACCCAAGAGAGCTTTCTTTTTTCTTCTGAGACTGTTAATTTGCTTCATGTCTCAATTAGGACAATTGATTTTAATCTATGAAATATAAAGGTCCTTTAAGGTAAGTGTATAAACCAAGAAAATACTACAAACTTTGTAAATACACTGACCAGGAAGTTTATAGTTGTCTTATTTCAGTATAATCAGGATGACTAGCATACCTTACTGAAACAAATTACTACCTTTCTGCTGAAATTATCAGTTCTCTGAACAGGAATGACTTATAACCTTTCTCCCGATTTTTATTATCTGTGTTACCCTTATCTTGACAAAAGGAAACTCCGGTTACTATTTATAATCTTAACCAATACAGTATCACCATGAGGACTAATGAGAACCCAATGCATAAGTTTATGACAAAAATAACCTAGTTTTAAAAAGTAAATTGCTGTTTTTGAATCAGACATTTCCCCCCTGAAATCAGAAAGGCATTCTACACCTCTACCAGAGTTTCTCAATAGTGACTACAGATGTTCTGAGCTGGATGATTTGTGAGGGCCATGCTGTGTGTTATAAGATACTTAGCAGCTCTGCTGGGCTCTGCCAGCTGAGTGCCAGTAATACTCCTGTCTCCAGAGATGCGAGGGAGAAAAATATCGCCAGACATTTTAAATGTCTTCTTGGGGACAAAATTGCTCCCAGTTGAGAATAACTTAGTAAATCTTTACATTTTCCTGCTAATGAGGTTGGAAAATTCTAAGGAAAACCATTTAAAATAAAAATTGGGCACATGAGACAGAGTTACTTGTCTGATAATTTTGGCAACTGCCTAATGCTGGACTTTACACGAACATCCTTTGAAAAGCTCTGGACCCTAACTTTTTCTGTCCTATGTTCATACTATATCCTAACCCACTGAGATGTGTTTGACTTTTGAGACCACTGGTGGTAGGAGTCAGGATAGACTTAAGTCGGAGTGTGGTAACAACTCAAAAATCTTGGTGGCTGTTCCAACAAGGAGTATTTCTTGTGTGGGCTATATTTCACCAGTTGGTTGGGAGCTGTGCTCCATGTCTATACCCTGGGACCTAAGCTGTCACTGTCTTAAACTTTTCTAGGAGACTGTTCTGGAGTTTGACTCCAATGATGTGGTTCAGAAGAAACACTCTTCCATTCATTGGCTTGAATTTGTCGTATAGCCTCACCCAAATAGGAAAGTACCCAGAGAGGCAGCCCTGCCATGCATGTGTACTAGAAAGTACACATGTACATTTTCACATGTATTGGAAATACTGGAATTTGGGATCAGACCTAGTGTCACTTATTTTTTAAACTTGTGCATATATTTAACCTTTTAGAGCTCCAGTTTGCTTTTAGGAAATGGGAATAATAGTAACATTTACTTTAGTAGGAAAATGATACAAGTAAATATGGAAGTTTAGATAATGAATCTAGGATTTTAGTAAATGCTCTATAATTTATGGCAAATATGAAAATAATGGTTATTTTGCTGTGTTTTGTATATGTGGGGGTTTTGTTTGTGTTTCTTTTTTGTTTGTTTTTGCCTATGTGTCACCTGGAAGGGAGGCAGGTGTGATAGAGAGGCAAATGATTTGTTTTGGAAAAGTGGGATCATCATGGTGGTTCACAAAGCAGAGCTTGAGATGCTGTAATGAGGGGAGTTTCAGTGCTGCTCTTGGTATTCAGCATTGAGGATTTTCTGTAGCTTGCAGGCCATTATGAGTCCCAGGAAGAATCTGAGATAATAAGGTAAAAATTCTAAAGTATTTGTTTTGCTTCTTATCTGTTATCTCAAAGTTT